ACAAAACCTCCAACATACTGAACATACATTTTCAATCATGTTGCAAATCCTTACAACCATTTATGCTAAATAGGAGCATTCATATAAATGTTTACATATCTTGAACTATTAGAAATTGTAAGGGTCAAATGCTTGCTATATTAAAATAAAATAAAAAGTCATATAAGCTTAGCACATAAGCTACCTCTGAACACAAACATTTTCACGTGCATTTTCCATCGGGATTCAAGATCGAGAGGAAAGAGATCAGAACTTCAGTATCTCACTCTCCTTTTTCTCATGAACTTATGGAAATAGATGACAAAATAATTGCTTTCTAGAGTTCCGATTTCATTGATAGAGCACCATTCTAGTACCATTTTTCAATAAGTTTGAACTCTATCTTGGTTAAAAATAAATAAGTAAATAAAATAAAGTTCATCTGAATTTTGTCACTGAAAATTGTGGCTACTAGTGAAGACAGAAAACAGGAAAAAATAGGCATACAAAAAAGCAAACTATATGAAATTATTGGGTTAGTTTTAATACTGCATAATTATTTATTCCTTCATCAATAAACATCACATATACAAGCTCCTTCCTTTCATCTTCTGCAACTTCACTGTTAACTTCCAACTTTCTCCTGTCCCTTTTCAACCTGAGGACAGGCGCTGAGGGGCAGAACCTGCACCAATGGTTCCTTTGGCACTTTACACACTACACAGACCTATCTAAAACACCAGCACATCTTCCTTGGCTAACAACAGCCAGGAAGAGGCTGATAATAACAAACCAGCAGTGGCTGACAATGTCAAGCAGTGGCTGACAGTGAAAGCAGTAGCTACAGTGACAAAAAGTGCCAAGCAAAGACGTAGTGTAGGCTATCACTGCTATGGCAAACAATGCCAGCCAGCGATTAACAGTGTTATTTCCAAACTTTCACCAAATCATTGTAGTTAGCAATGACAAGACGAGAAAACCAAAAGTTACAAAGGTCAATATATACAGCATCTGACCATAACTGCTCTATAAATAAATATTTTTTATAATACAGTTCTGCATTATACTCTATATTATAATTTTTCAAGCCTTTATATACTCCCATATAAATATGTTTTCTTAGACGTAAGTTCACTATAAACATAATACTTTGGTTTGATTTGTATATTTATTTTGCATACAGTAAAGAAAATGACAACAAAAAGGATATCTATTACCATGATAGTTAAACGTATGTTAATCAATTAATAAACCAAAAAGCAATGATACTAATATTAATAATAATAAGAATGGAATCAAACATAATTATAATATTTCTAGTAGTAATAATTATAATACTGATAATAATAATAATAACAATAATAATAATAATAATAATAATAATAATAATAATAATAATAATAATAATAATAATAATAATAATAATAATAATAATAATAATATTAATAATAATAATAACAATATTAATCATTACCACTATCACTATTATTGTCGATTATTAACAAGAATTAATAATTACAAACATTTATTAATAATAATTATTAATAAATAATAATAATGATAATAATAATAATAATAATAATAATAATAATAATAATAATAATAATAATAATAATAATAATAATAATAATAATAATAATAATAATAATAATAATAATAATAATAATAATATAATAATATAAAATAATAATAATAATTAATAATAATAACAATAATAATAATAATAATAATAATAATAAATAATAATAATAATAATAATAATATAATAATAATAAATAATAAATAATAATAATAATAATAATAATAATAAAAACAATAACAATCATAATGTAATCAAAAACACCTAAAATATTTCATCATCATAGCACTACCAATTATACAACAACTAAATGGATCACAGATATTCCTAATTTTGTCTATCTTAAAAAAAAAAGAAAAAAAAAGAAAAAAAAAAAGAAAGAAAGGAAAAAAAAAAAAAAGTTTCCCATAAAAACTTTGCAAGACACCAGGTAATTTCAACTTAATTTGAACTTTAAGACCAACTACTCTACAAAAGTTAATATATCATTGAATGGTTAAGACAGAATGAAAAATCAATTAGTTCCATGATGCAAACAGGAGGCACAGTGTGATCCACGTCACTCTGCGTTCACTGATGACTCTTCTCATCAACTCGGACCTTAAAGTACTTAAAACTGCGAGTGTGAGTGTAAGTGTGAGAATGAGTGTAAGTGTGAGATGAGTGTGAGTATGAGTATGAGTATGAAGGTGAGTGTACATGTGAGTGTGAGTATGAGTATGAGTATGAGTATGAGTATGAGTGTAAGTTTAAATATAAATGTATGCTTGTATGAGAAAATGAATAGTAATAAGTATAACTGTAAAATGTAAATGTAAGTCCAAGTGAATGTGTACACTTATGATTAAGCTTAAGTGTATATGGATGTGTGTCAATGTAAATGAAAATGTAAACAGAAGTGTACATCTATGTGTATTTGTAAGCCTATCTGTACCTGTATATATCAGTGTGTGTAACTATGGCATACATCCATCTGTGAGTATGCTTCTGCTTGTGGGTATGTGTGCCTATAAGCCTTTTCTTGACTGCATCATTACCAACAGTATAAAAATGATGATATCAGCTATGAAGATAATAAGTGTAACAATAACAACAATAATAATAATAATAAATAATATATAATAATAATAATATAATATAATAATAATAAATAATAATAATAATAATAATAATAATAACAATAATAATAATAATAACAATAATAATAAAAAAAATAATAATAATAATAATAACAATAGCAATAACAATAATAATAATAATAATAATAATAATAATAATAATAATAATAATAATAATAATAATAATAATAATAATAATAATAATAATAATAATAATAATAATAATAATAATAATAATAATAATAATGAATGTTATTATAAAAATAACAGAAAGACCAAATAATAATCAACAGTAATGCCAAAGGGTAGCATAAGTAACAGTAATAACCAAACACCTCTAACAGCTCTGCTTAGCCCTGGGCAAAATACTGGCTGTGCAACAGTCACAAAAGAAAGAAAGAAAGAAAAAGTGAAAAAAACATGATTAAAGGTGCAATGTAAACATGAAGTATGATACGAACTCCTGTCAACCAAACATCACCTTGCGAGAGAAGCCCCTGAAAATTTTCACCGCCGCGACTGGACACGACAGAGAGCCAATTCTCAAACGTGCATTTCCCTTCTGGATTTTTAAAATGTCTAGGATATACACTCCTGTAAACCACTTTTTTTTCTTCTTTTTCTTTCCTTTTTTTCTTTCTCTTTTCTGGACTGTTTTGTGGCTATGAACGGGGAAGGCACAACAATTGGTTATTCTGTTCTGCAGTTCATATGAATGTATCTTATGAAACTGTGTTAATGATCAAGTACATAGCTTAATGTAGATGCAATCTACATGAGACATAACAAACTCTTTAAGATAATTCGGGATAGTACCTGATATGTGGGAAGCAAACAAACATGTCTACACACACAAAATAGTCCACCACAATAAATATAATAGCAATAAGTCAAATACATTAGTTAGGAAAAGTATACAGACATGAACACAAGGGGTACAACTGACCAAGTTTTACTGATATCATTAAGTAACAAATTATCAATTATTATTCTGAATTGCAAACTGAGAAATCTATAAAGCACCGTTTCCTAAAGAAAACCCTGGGAAGTTTATAAAATAGCGCCAGCATAAAATGATATTCAGATCCAATGCAAGCTTGGTTGTTCTGTTTTCATTAGAGGATACTTGCACATGTGTATGGGTGCATGTCTACTGAAGTACATGATTGAAAGTTATGTGACTTGTAAGTTTTAAAAAAAGCAGAGGAAAATATGTATATTATTGAGAATTGGGTCAAACCAACATGAGTACAAATGCACCATGGGCTATGTGGAGTGGCTGGCAAGCTTTATCCTTTTAATCTTATAAAAATTGTATATCAAATAATAGATAACGGCACCCTCAAACTCTGATCAAAATAAAATCTACACTATAATTATTTTGTTCATTCTCTTTGTCTGAAGGTTAAAGGAAATCAATGTTTTACATGGTAAAAAAAATAATAATAAAAAAATAAATAATTTAAAAAAATAGATAAATAATAATAAAAAATCCAAATGCCCTTATAAAAACTGCCTAGGTAATTATGGCACCTTATGATGCAACCAACGTGCCACAAAAAGAATACTGAATGGTTTTGGAGTCGAGAGTGCAGTATGCAATCTTCAACGGACGGACAGATGGACTACGCTATGACATGCGTAACGCAAAGTCTAGGTTTTATGGACAGAAGACAACCCTCAGAAACTGGCTGCTGTAAATACATAAATTTAGCTTCCCACTTCAAGATGATGCAAAAGGCAAAAAAGTGACTGAAAAAGAAGTTAAAATAAAAAAAATGTACATAGAATCACAGATACTCTAATATTCCTTCTGTGTGTGAAAAGAGGGAGGGGATGATAGGAGGACTAGGGATTGGAGCATCTATTACATACCACTTTGTTCACCTTTAATAATGCAAGTCAAAAGTACCTCAGGCTTCTTTATTAACCTTTCTGTACTCTCATCCTAAACACTCCTACTCTTCAATCTGGAGGTCAGCACCTTATGCTACAAAGAGAGAGAAAAGGAGAGAAAGAGAAAGAGAAAGAGAAAGGGAAAGAGAGAAGCAGATGAGAATGAGATGAGAGGGAGAGGGAGAGGGAGAGGAGAGAGGAGAGGGAGAGGGAGAGGGAGAGGGAGAGGGAGAGGGAGAGGGAGAGGGAGAGGGGAGAGGGGAGAGAGGGGAGGGGAGAGGGGAGAGGGGAGAGGGGAGAGGGGGACAGAGGGAGAGGAAAGATAAAAGACAAAAGAGAAGAGAGGAGAGGAGAGAACAGAAGACAAAGGAGAGAACGGAAAGGAAAGTGTTAGTGAAATATACCATCAAACATGATCATAACCTTACCAAAGAGTTCCATAATGCTGTCCAAAAGTCATAGTAGCTATAAGTCATTTGGCTTCATTTGCTGTAGCAACCATCAATCTCCTCACATCGAGTTTTGCATTAAGTAACACTCATGAACTATATGCTGTATCTGCTGAGGACACTTACAATCTACAAACTATGAACACTGCCTTTTTGGCATACATACATTCCATGTAACTTGATATACACAAATAGATATGCATAAATATATATCAATATACATATATTGGTATATCGAAATATATGTATACATCATACATAAATACACATATATTTGTATAGACAAAACAAATAAGATCAATTTAATCTTTTCCTTCTTTAAACGAGTGGATCGACCACCCATACACAACGCGGTCAAATCCAGCTGTAAAGAGGTTACATCTTGCTCCAACATTATCATCCGCCCAAGCCACACTGCACACCATTCGACGATGACACTGGAAAGAATTTGGGTCAATGAAATTTCATATCAAACAAGGCAGTAGAGACAGGGATAACAAATTAACAATAATTTGAGTGTTCACTTTATATAACATGCTTCCACTAATTCTTTCTCTTCTTCAGAATGATTCCACATCATGTTAACTACATCCCATAAAAATTGAAAAAAGAAAGAAAGACATTTACCTGTCTGTTGCTCCTGGGCAACCTTGCAAGGCGGTTCCCTGATAAGTCATAGAGTCGCACATGACGGTTATCATGGGGAATGGCAATGACATTTGAGGAAGATACTGCCAATCTATTGACTGGGGAGTCTAGCCTGATTGTGGCCAGGGGAGACCGCATGTTCTTCACATCCCAAACCTGAGGGAACAGACATGGAGTATTTAAGGAGAAAAAAAATCTTGCTAATCTTCCATTATTTGACTTTCAGTTATATGTAAATATACATGCAAATACCAACAACATATTGAAAATCAATGAAAAAATAAAACTCAAGAGATTAATAGGAAAATAAAACAAGATTAAAAGATTGAAAAGAAAATGTGAGATCTTCACACTCACCTTTACACTGCGATCATCCGAACCCGATACAACTTTATCTTCTCGTGTGAAGCAAACAGAAGTAACACTCCTATAGAAAAAAAAAATTATTAATAATATGGAATCAGCATTACAGTGATACTGGCACATACTCAAAAATTCCTTTACTGTAAAGCAAAGTCAATTCAATTTAGTCATTACAGCAAATATACATCATATCTGATCTATGTTGTAAACATCCCTAAACTAATTTCTCCCATAAGCCAAACTATAACCAATTAAAAAACAATAATAATAACAAAAATGGGCACTTACTCTGTATGGCCTTGAAAAACGGAAACAGAGTGTATTGGGTCACGGAAATCCCACAGCCGGAAAGTTGTGTCTTTGCTTGCTGTGACAACCAGCCGTTGTGTAGGGTGAGAGCAGCAATGTGTCAGCTCCTGGTCATGACCTGGAAGATCATAGAGATATGAAGATAATGCTCGAGAAAAATATAAGTCAAGCCAAAATGTGCTACCTTTTAGCTTCATACATCTGTATGTCTTTGGCATGATTTTGTTACTTTTGTAAAAAGCAATAATCAAATAAATAGTAAGAAATTCAGTGGAGCAAAGATAAATGCACCAATCACATTAATAACTAATTGAAATAGTACTTCTTAAACTTTTCCTGCCCTAGCACCCGTATTTAGGTCTAGGGAGTCTAGCGCCCCCTAACTCTGGTTAACATCTGATTACTAGAAGGATAAAGGAAAGCGAAGTGAAGTACTGCTTGATCATTAAGTTTGTTGATCTCTCAAAACTAAAACCAACTGCCATTACAGTTGATTAGAAAAAAGAAAATCCAAGAAAAAAGGGCACTGACAAATGCAAACATGCACAGCTGGATATTTTACCGTCATGTATTCAGCACTTCCCAGAACCCTTGTACAACTGATTTTACCATCCCAGATTAAGAAATGCTGAACTAAAATCAATTACTTAAATTTACTATCATTGCTCTTCTATGCACAATTTCTCTCTTCTTACATGTTACCCAACAGCTGATGCAGTGAATGGTGCACGCTCCTTGTGAAATATTTGGGAATCTGAAAATGACCTGCAAGCTGATCATAACATTGTTTTTCTTTCTCCCATCTCTTCACCTTGCTTTGTATTTGTTTCTCGTATGATATCGCAAAGACAAACTGAAAGAAAATATCTTTGAAAAATAAACAACCAAATCCAAATAAAGCAAGACAACTGAAAGAAATGGCAGTTCAAAAAATAAAAGAAAGAAAGAAAGCAGGTTTTATCATTATTACCTCAAACATTTCCTGTATACAACACAATTATGTATTGACTCATCAGATCAGCACTTTTCAGGTACTCTCATGCATCCAATTCTAAAATCATAGTCACATTCATGGTGTTAATAAATTTTCATCAATATCAATGAAAGTCACTGCTCATATGAACCAAAGATTTACTTAGTTGTACACCTTTTATTTATCCCATTGGCGCAGGAGACATCTTCGGCCTACTGAAGTTTTGTTTTGTGAAAATTGTTTAAACAGAGATGGTTCTACAAGTGCTTAGCTACCCAGGAGTTAATTAACTGGCCTTGGTGTCATCACCTAATTTTTCCATTTCTTGTATTCTTGGGATAAAGTTGTTTTTCCTTTTAATACTAATACTATTGTTACAGTTATCATTACCATTATCATCATCATCATTATCATCATTATTAACCCACTGCCTCTGGGAGAATATGGGCTTCTCTTGGCCTCCACTCTGGGGAGTAGGTGTGGGTGACCAACAAAGTGATGTGATTTATATATATATATATATATATATATATATATATATATATATATATATATATATATATATATATATATATATATATATATATATATATATATATAATATATATATATATATATTAATATATATATATATAATATATATATATATATATATATATATATATATATATAATATATTATATATATATATATATATATAAAATATATTATATATATATATATATATATATATATATATATATATATAAATATATATATATATTATATATATATATATATATATATATTATATATATATATATATATATATATATATATATATATATATATATATATATATATATATATATTATATATTTATATTATTTATATATATTTATATATATTTATATATATATATATATATATATATATATATATATATATATATATATATATATATATATATATATATATATATATATATATATATATATATATATATATATATGGGTATGTTACACTCTGTATACAAGATTAAATGTGGCTTTATTGTGGGACAAATATCATTTTCATGAAATTAGAGTTTGTATGCAATAATATGCAGGGCTACTGCCACCATGGCTTCAGTACTTCCCTTCTGTGTATCATACTTTAAGACAGTCATACTGGCAAAGTCTCAAAAGACTGAATTGTTGATACGAGGAGATATCTCCTAACCAAGAGTAAGGGTGACTTACAGGTTTACATCATCTGCAAGACAGCACCATGTTTTCGTGCATGACGTCTTCCACACATAGCAGGGGAATTATCTATGTGCTAATATTATCCCATTACACAAAACAATAATCAATAATAGCATTACACCGCCCATTCTCCCTCAGGCAATGCCCCAGGGTCATGATGTGGGCATGTGGGTTCCATATAAAGAACACCATAAAATGTATTGTACACATCACACACACACATCAATAACCTGTTGCCTGTAATGACCAAGTTAGCCTGTGTCATCCTATGTCATCCTGAGGCTAGAGTTAATATCTTAATAATTATCATTATCATTATCATTATTATTTTTATCATCATTGACATTATGATCACTCTAATTCTATTAACCCCTATGATCCGCATGACGTTACAGTCACGTCATGGAAAAACCTGGGTCAAGGGCCGGATGACATAGACATACCAAAAATGTCCACGGGCCAGATGACACAAACTTGCCGTCATCAGCAAAGGCCAGGGAGATGGAAAAGCCTCAGTAGAACTGCACAAACCTCTCCAAGAGAGATTTGACTCATTTGGCACTTAGTAAACAAATGTGGAATGTAACACGCATAAATCATGACTGGAAGAGCGCCAGCTCCAGGGAAGATACTAATTCCATGCTGCGCACCGTATTCCTGGCCGCTGTGACTGGCAGCTTAGGTTGTATTACGGAAAATGGAAAATTAAGTAAAAATAAGATATATAATATAAATAAGCAAATGCTCCATATTTTTTTTTTTTTTCTTGCACTGAATTATTTACTGCATAGAGAGGTGAGATGATATGGAGTCTGTGCAAGGAAAAAAGCTAATTCCATCTGGATAAAACATATCAAAAGACAAATATGGACTCTGGAAAATGGCAAAAAAGCTGAAAAAAAAAATTACAAAAAAACTTTGCCAAGGGGAAGCAGAGTCTTGTCACCTCTCATGGGTGACTCACACTTAGCCTACGTGCCACACGCCCGGGATCTTGGCTACTTATGTAACCCAATGCCCAAATTTTTAGCACCATGCAACCAGATCCAATGGGTTAACAATACTTACAGCAAAAAAAATTAAATAAAAAAAGTTTTCTGAAAGTTGAGCAATAAGGTAAACATGTGAGATTAAGTAGGATTACAAACAGATTCTCTGGTGACTATGCATTTGTGGAACCATATATGCGTACACAAAGTTAATAAATTAAAATCACAATATACATGGCATGTATATACACATGCTCCACAATCTGACCCCCTTGGACTGAATATAGGAAATTTCCATGCCCTTGTCGACAGGAATGGTTGTCCACATTAACTAGCAATATCACCAAACAACATCGCTGGAACTCTCTTTACTAACTACAGAAGCTTTTGCTAATGTAAATTTTAATACACATAAAACAATTCAGTAAGAGTAAGGGGGGTGGGTCCTGGGGGCCGAACCCCTGCCCTTTTTCTCAAAGAGGTGAAAGTGCCCTTTTTCTAGGGCACTTTCTTTCTCTTGATCTTGGAATGGCGATGAGACTGTTTATTGTATTTTTGTTTGGTTCAGTGCAAATAATTATTATCATTAAGATTCTTGTAACATTTCTTCCGTTTTTAAATCTGAAGAACATAATTCAGGCTATATCACCTATAAATAAAAGTAATATTGTGCCCTTTTTGTGGCCTGGACCCCTGCCCTCTAAAATTCCTAGTTGCGCCCCTGAAATACATACTTTTCAGGGGAAACTGAAAAGGGTTAACTTACACAATCAAAAATATTGGGCAATACTTGTGATCCTGTAGTCGCTATTCAGTAACAATCATCATGATCTTTTATCTCTCTTTTTTTCTATTTTTTATGTTGGTACTGTCATCATTTTGTTAATTCTACCGTTATAATTTCTTTATTATGATAATCATCAAGAGTATTAGTAGCAGCATTTACACTAGCACTAGCAGCAGCACTAGTAGCATCAACAGCAGCATACACAAACATGGGAAAGCACATGCACAGAAAAACCCACATGCAAACATACAAACACACACACATCACACACAGATGCAGGCACAAACACACACCACACATGCTTCACCACTCACTAACACAATTCTTCACCACTTCATTCTTCCCCCTCTTTTCCCCATTACAAACTATTGGACAGTCTAACTGAGAAGCATACTTTTAAATGTATAAAATGTATTGCAGTGTCGCCTGTGTATAGTTCGTAAAGTTCCTTCTGGGTTGTTCAGTGACACTCATAGCTAGCATGGGCAACCATTCCCACTGAGAAGGCCATAGATATTTCTAAACTCAGTCTAAAGGGGTCTAAACTAGTCCTAAATTCCTGAAATCAAAATAATCCATTTTACGTAACAATTATACAATACCTTTTAGCTTTTTTCAGTGCTTTCAAACAGGTACCTGGAGCAGTCAGGACCAAGATAATCAACAATGTCTGTCAGAAGTTATAGGAGATATAGTCTGCCTTCCATTTGTACTGGCTATTTATCATGTAAATTCTGACACTGCCATATGAAACTTTACATAACTGAGAGAACTAATGCTGTGTTGTACGTTTGCTTTTCTCTGATTTAGAACAAAGCAATTATAAACTTTTGCACAGGCATTTAATGTTCATAATTCCACTATACTGATAATAACTGAATAAATAACTCCACTATACTGAGATTAACTGACTGCACGGAAGGCAATTCCTGTAACTATGTAGCACTTAAATATGGGATTTATTTACCTTCCCTGTGAGCATCAGTGTCCAGTGTTGTTGTTTTGGCAGCCATAGTGAAACTGTGTTGTTGTTGTGCATCAATGAGGTATCAAAACTGAAGCTGATTTCAAACAAAATCAGATTAAAAACAACAAAATAAATACCCTAGCAGAAAACTGATGACCCACAGAGGATCTGGTTAAAGCAGCAAAACAAATATCAACAAAATCATTCAGCGTACTGAAAAAAACTGCAAATTGTGAAAGAATTCATAAACTATTAGGACAATTCTTTGATACTTGGATTGACTGATATACAGGAGATCCCTGTTAAGCATCATTATTACAGGCCAGAAAAAATATGACAAATAGCAATACACGAAATCCCATGGGAATGCAATAAAAAAAGGGTGACTCAACCATATGTGTATGTGTATGTCTATATGTATATTTAAATAACCTTAAAAAAGAGTAATACTGTACTTCTATCCAAGAAAAGATAAAAAGAAAAGAGAAATGTAAACCTTGGATATTGTATAAATGGTGTAATTATTGCACACACTACACAAGTTCTAAGTGGCAGCCAATGACAAGTGGTAGAGGTGATGGGAATAGAGGTGATGGGAATAAGGATCAGGGTATGAACGGTAAATGAGAGAGGATATCATCACCTTTTATGTCAGCTGTCTCTTCCTCATTTTCAGCCAGGTTTTATGTGAAGGAATCAGGAATGGTTTGAGGGGGAATGAGTGGGGATTGTCATGCATTCCATGTTTGATATGATGCCATTTAAATGCCAATATTAGCTGTGTGTTCATCAATTTCATAGCATCAACACAATATGCTGACAGTTAGCTTTTGGTAGGTCAACATAAACACTCAAAGGCATATTATAGTGCTCTGGTGCAGCAGCAGTAGCCTACATTGGTGGCTGGAAAGTTGACATGTACTGTTCATATATACTATAGTTCCCATTAGAAGTGCCCATGAATTTTCAGTTTTTGTACATATATATATATATATATATATATATATATATATATATATATATATATATATATATATATATATATATATATATATATCATGGCACTCATGTTCTTATTTCATTTTTATCAAATTTCAATTTCTTCTTATACTATTGGTCTTTTGTTAGTTTCTTCTACGATTACAAACATATGTGCATAAACTCTCAGAACCCTAACAAAGTAAGTGAAATGCTATTAACAATGTATCCTCAAAACATCAGTGACAAAAGAGTGAAGTGATGAATAGCAGGGACCCAATGTATTCTGAACTCTAATATACTTTATTTATATATCAGTTCTCTAAAGAATCAGATTCCCATTAAGATAATGAAGCATCATTTCATCATAGTCCCAGTTGATAAAATATTCACTATCATCTATTATCATAAACCTTATGAATCAATGTCCATGAAGATCTTTCTTTAATGAACTAAACTACAAAAAAAAGTAAATTGCAGAATACACATTTCACATTTATGACTGCATCATTAATTGCACTACACACTGATTTGAAGTGTGAAACAGTGCTATTTACTTTCTTAACCCTTTCAATCTGGGTGACGTAACAATCACGTCAAAAAAAATTTTGCTTGAGGGCTGGGTGCCGTGAACATGCTGTCATGAGACAAAACGGACGCGGGCCGGGTGATGCGAACTCAGTCATGATCAGAGGCTAGGGTGACAGAAAAGACTTGTCACAAGTACACAAACCTCTTGGAGGGTGATCAGACTCATTTGGCATTTAGAAAGGGGTATTTCCCTTTTTCCTATCAATAAACGAGTGTGGAACATTATATCCATAAGCCATGACCGGAAGAGCGCTGGGTCCAGGGAGGATGCCATTTCCATGCTCAGCATCGTATACCTGGCCACCATGATCTGCGGCTCAGATTATATCACAGAAAATTTAATATTCCGAAAAAATGATACATGACACAAATAACAAAATGTTATTATTTTTTTTCTTGCACTGAGTTATTTGCTACATATATGGAGTCTGTGCAAGGAAAACAGTCTATTACCATCTTGATAACGCAAATCAAAAGACAAATATATACATTGGAAAATGGCAAAAAAGGTAAAAACGTTTATGCAAGATAACTTTGCAAAGGGGAGGCACAGAATCTTGGAATCTTGTCACCACACAGGAGTTTTACGTGCAACCGGCCTACACTCCGCATACCCAGCAGAGCGGCCACTGATAAAACCTAATACCTGTATTTTCTGCCATTGGTTGCCGTGACGAAACCGGATTCAAGGGGTAAATCAACAAAGTAGATTCAACAAATCAAGTCTATTCTCTGAGTCTATTACAGAATCTACTTCAAACAATCATCATAATACATCTATCACCACTTTCTTGTAACCTGTGAACACTTTGAATGATTCTCTCATTTCCACTAAGCACTGATGATTTCTTTGATGTATGCAGTAGCTTCATCCATGTAATTGGTCATTACACATCAAATTCCCATCAAGCTTCACTATAGAGCCAAGAATATCTGCTTTATAAATCTCCCATTCACATTTTAAAGATTTATGTACTGATAAGTGTGCATCTAACAAAATTTCTGGGGGTCCTTACTGAAATGATATAAGTCAAGAAGACAGAAATTTGCATGGAATCAAAAACCCAGTGAAAGCAATGCAAAAAACAAAACACCCACAAGAAAAAAAGAAAATAAGAATTAGATTTAGTAATCAATGTTTTAGCAATCTCCCTCTTAAATCAATTCCACAGTAGATCATGGATTAAAAAAAAAATAAATAATAATAAATAAATAAATAAATAAATAAAAATTAAAAAGAATGAAGGTACATGTAGATAAACCATACCAAACAGGAGAGGAAGACAAGCATTCTAGTGGCAGAAGGAGGAAGCTATGTAGCTGGGAGAGTTATATAACCATGGTCTGTTTGCTTATCTATGAATTAATTGAACACAGGAAACTTTCTCTCCAAATTTCAGACTAAAAGCTTGCATCAGCCAGCCTCAAGAGTTGGCCAATGGAAGGCAAGTGATACCCTAAAGCAGAGTCACAGTGTTGCTTACCACATTTCAATAGTGAGCTTCACATTTAAGTAAACACAGAAGTAGCCATTAAATAAATAATTTTACTAAACATGTATCTGTAACAAAAGAGAGGTGTTCACTTGCTTTACCACAAAAGATAAGACAAAAAGACATCAGCCTACCTATCAACTGAGAAAGCAGCTCCCCAGTGTGGGCATCATATAGATTAGACGTTCTGTCCCATGCAGCAGTAATAGCCTGGTCTCCTCCTGGTAGCCAGTCAGCAGCAATAACAACACTGGTGTGTCCTGTCAACTCTCTCAGGGGAGTGCGAAGTGTAGCAGCACCACCACCATCACCACGTACTCCCATCATGACTCCATCTTCTTCGTCTTCTCTGTCACTGCCATCTACTTCATCCTCTGAGGAATGCACACGCTGGAGGGAAAGAAAATCATACAGTTAACTTTCTATAAGCAAAGGTTAAACAAAATCAAATACAAGCAAAAACTTGCTTCATATGCCTGAGAGCTTAAAAATGTGAAATAAAAACTGCCTGAGCAACAGTTACTTGATTCAATTCTTTTAGCAACAAATTCTTAGTGATACACACACCTTTCTCACATCTTAAAGGAATTTTAGACAGTTTTTTTTAAACAGATTAACTTCACTGGTCTCCAAGTGTAATATCTAAGACCAGTAA